TAAGTTTTTTTTCCCTTTTGGTAAAATTCCTTTCTTTACCCCGTGAGACACGTTGGTTTCCCAAGTTATGAATTCAGTTTCTTTCGTTTGTTCTAGCCACTTAGTTTTTCTTATTACAACCTGTTTAATTTTTAATTTCTCATTAAAAGTAAATATGGCTAATTTTCCTATCCATATTTCAAGAGGTCTTCCATTTCTCTCTGTCACAACCTTGATATAGCACTGTCTGGTGTGTATTACTACATAATTAAAATGCCATGTTTTTTTTTTCCTCATAAACAGAGCACTTCCAGGACAGGGTAACTGTTTAACAAACCACCACAATACGAATTTAAAGAAGTTTGGTTTCCTCCTCCTTCTCCTCACCCTGCTCCTCCCTCTGTTTTATTTGCTCTCTCCACGTTTTCAGAAGAGCAGTCTTGGGTAAAGATTTTAACTGACAGCCAGATCTTCTAGGTAGTTCTAATCCTTGTGGCTCGCACTGCAGCTAGCACTGAAACTTGTAAATTGTCGTGAACCTTGTAGTGTTCATGGAACCTACTGACACCAGAGTGACAACGCCGTGGAAACTCTTATCAACAGAGCCCTTGTGGAAGTGGAAGTCAAAACAGCCGTCCGGTCAGGGTTAAAATGCCATGTTTTTTTAATCACATAGTTCTGGCAAAGCAACCTATTAATACGTTTTAAATGGATCAGAGGTTTATTCCGGTACAATTGAGATAAATGTTACAACACTCTTCTGGAACTAAATGATAAGTGGAATAATATGTACAGTGCTATGGGGAAGGTTGCTGCAATTGTAGGAAAAATACTTAGGGATGAATGTATCATAGACCTTTTCAGTCAGTCTTGTTTATTTTATAATGTAGATATATTCAGCATGCTCATCTTGAGTCATTGGACAAACACTTAGTAAGCACTGACTGTATACGAGTCACTATGCTAGGCTCTGGGTATTCAGTGGTGATCAAAATAGATAGTTCTGCCCTCAGCATTTATGCTATAATCGTGGAACTCCCGGTGTGGGAGCACCTGGGTGGTTGGATCATAATGACCAAGGCAGAGACCAGTGTGAGGTGAGACCAGAGGGGTAGGCAGGACAGTGGTAACCACGAGTGTGTAGTTACGGTCAAGAGTTTGGACTTCATTCCAACTGTAACGATAAGCCATTGAAGGCTTACTGCAGGGGAATCCAACTTTAGTTTTATGAAAATTACCCTGAGCAGTAGTGAAAAATGGTTGTTGGGTAGAAGGGGAGAAGCAGAGTTTATGTTGTAATCCAGGCAAGTTGTAATGGTGGCTTAGACTAGAGTAGTGACTCTAGAGCTAGAAAGAGGTAGATGATACAAATAGTTTGGAAGAGTTAGCAAAGTGTGGTGGATGGGATTTGGGGGAAGCAGAGTGAAGAGGGAGAAGGCTGTGTCGAGGATGTTGTCTGTATCTCCAACCTGAACAACTGGGTAGCTGGAGATTCTGTGTCCTGAGATCTGGCACATGGGAGGAGGGGTAGACTTGGAAGGGACTGTCCAGTGTTCAGTTTGGGGCATGTTGAGTGTGAGGGGGAGGATATGTTTACAAGGCGGGGGGTGGGGATGGAGTGCAAGGACCAGCCTACTCTTCCTCGCGCTGGTGTAACTGGTTATGGGCTGAGTACAGGTTAGAATAACAAGTCACTTTCAAAACCAAACACATTGCACTGGTTTCCAGCTTATGAATCACGCCTCTATGCTTTCTGCTACAGCTCAGCTCTCTAAAAATATCTATGTAATTATGGGCAGAATGAAACAATATTCATCTTACAGTAAGATGTGTGCCTGCCTGGCCCACAAAGTCAGGTTACAGATTTGATCTTCACAGGAACCAGTTAGATTTTCTTTTATCTTGTTACAAACAAGCTACATCCCTCACCTTGGATTGCTGACTTGATTAATTATTAGGAAGGAAACTGGGCCATAGAGCTGGTTTGAAATAGTGTCGATTTATCTTCGCTACTTAAAACTACAGTCTAGTGGCCTTTTGGAAAACAGAGCCCAACATATATTATGCACTTCTCACGCTGGTTATGGTTCTATCTGCCTTTACATTAAGCATACCACATCATTTTATTCATCTTGTGATTTTCTGCAGCCAGTATTTTTATTTCCTTCAACAAATAGAAATGATAGAAATAGGCCATTTAGGGGCCGGGATTGCAAGTGTTTTGGTCTTTGCTGTACCTCTAATGCCTGGCACAGGGACTGGCATGCATTTGGCACTTGATATTTATTTTAAAAACTAAGTGATTGAGGAATGGCTGAATAGTGATTCTGTAAGAAGGAGGGCTAATTCAGTTTTGGGAAATCAAGAGATCAGGTGGACTATATTCTTCCTACAAGGTTATGTCCCTGAAATCTGAGAAGTCAAAGCTGTAAAATGTAAATTTGGGAACCATCCTGATAAAAAGAATTATAGAAACCATGAGAGTGGAATTCCATACGTGTATGCAGAATAGTGTAGAATAAGAATAGAGCGAAACTGAAAAGCAGAGGAAGGGGAGTTGGGAGGAGGCAGGAACGTGCAGGAGAGCACAGCATCCCAGGGAAGAAGGAACAGCCAGCAGTGGGAAGATAGAGCTGAGAGGTGAGAAGGGATGCGAACAAAAAGGGGCCTTTGGGTTTGGGCAGGCGTCAAGCAAGTTAATGTGAGCCTGGGTGCACAGTGTGAGATAAGCTTGGGGAAATTCCACTGTCCTTTTGTTTATACTCTCCACCACTGATGATTCCAATTGAGAGGGGACTTTTCTTAAGCAAAGACATAATTATTTTAGATTTTCTGCTGTGCATAGCCTGCCATCATAGGACACTGTACTGACCTTGAAGGGCTTATTTTGTGATTTCTTATAAGCTGGTTACTTAATGATCAGGCCCATATTTTTCCATTGCTCCTGTTACAGGTAATGATGTTTGATATATATAATTATCTAGGGGAATTGAAAACATGTCACAGTAGTTGGAGATCTGAAAATCAGCCTGAACATCAAGGTGAAAAATATAGACTATTTCTCCAAAATTATCTGGGTTGAAACAGCATTTCAGTTGAAATTTTATTAAATTCTCTAGTTCATGAGAATGCTACAAAGCTATAATAATAAGCCCTGGCAATAAAGAAACTTGGGGTTATGTTAATAATGGGGGTACACCCATAACACATACGTATATATAATATTTTCTTGGGCGTTTCTTTTGGGTGTGAAGTTGGTAAGAATCCCTGTGTGGAGAGGGATGGGGAGTACATTTGAGTCTTATTATTCGAATGTTAACGTTGCAAAGACTTTTTCTCCTAAGTGAGATTACTTTATAGTAATGAAAAAAGTAGCTACCATTTATTCAGTACCTACTTTGTTCCAGACATGTTACAGTAATCCTGAGAAGGAGGTATTATTTCTAATTTAAAGTGAAGAAATTGAAGTTTAAGTAATTTACCATAGATCTCAGGGCTAGTAAGTAGGGATCTAGCTGTTTTTTACTCTAAAGCCTATGCACTTTCTAATGTGCTGTCTGAATGACAACCTTTAGGGTATCAGAGTGCATTATATATTTGATTGGAGCCAAGATAGCTCCACAGGGAAATCAGAAAACCATTAGATGAGAACTTTTTCAGCATCCTGTCCCCTAATCTGCCTATTTACCCATATCTGCACCTGAAATTCTTCTTCCTTCCTGTTATGGTGGACAAGGGTATTCCCTCTAAGGACTTGATTCTTTTTCTCTTTTGCATCTTTAGTCTGTGTCTCTTTCTTTACTAGCTTTTTCCCATAAGCATAACCTAGATCTTTTCTGAAGCAAATACCTTCTGTGTTGGTTAGTAATTGCTGTATAACAAACCACTCCAAAATTTGGTGAAGTTAACTTAAAATATCATTTATTTAGCTCTCTGTTCTGTGGGTCAACAAATCAGTCTGGGCTCCGCTGGATTTACTTAGGCATTTGTGGTCAGCTGCTGGTCAGCTAGACCACTTTGCTTCTGAGGCATTAGCTGGTCAGTGGCCAGGGCCATCAGGGTGACTAGAGCATGTGTCTTCCATCATCCAGTAGGCCAGCCCGGACTTGTCCACATGGTTGCCTAGGAGGGTTTCAAGAGAGAGCAGAAGCCTGCAAATCATCTTGAGGCCTAGATTCGGAGCTAGTGTCGCTTGCTTTTCATTCTGTCAACCAAAGCAGGTCACAAGGCCAGAGCAGGGCCTGGAGAAGTAAGCCCGTGAATATGGCACTCCTCCTCGTGGGTAAATCCAGTCTACCCTTCAAGACCACCTCAGCCTGAGTTGTGTGCCTCGGGTCTGGGCTTCCTCTGTCCCTGCATTTAGAGCATTGTGTGGCAGTTGTTGGTTTACTTCTTAGTAGAAAATGAGCTCCTTAAAGACAGTGACTGTGTTTTAATCCAGGATTTGGCTCATAGTAGGTAACTTTTAAAAGTGGAAATTTTTCTGAAAATAAAGCAGTCTAGCAGTTGACATCTGGCAATATGGAATAGAAGATAATATATGCTTGCATTTTAAGACTTGCTTGCTAATGTTGAAGAAATTTGGAGCAGACTCTATCTAATATATCAATATCGAATATTTCTTTAAAAAAGTGAAGGGGTGAAGAATTCTCTCCAGCATTCTGAGAAGAAATAATTTTTAAATATTTGTGCACTATCTTTGTATGTTTTTTTGTTAGGTTATAAATTTGTGTGTAAGGAAGACAAGTAACATTTTCATGGCATATTTGTCAGCAAAAGCATACCCATCCATTAACTGGTCCACTGGGATCTGGGATGACATTTCTCCTTTAGGATGTAAAATGAGGAGGGACATCAGCCAGTGTCCTGGGCGTTACTCTGGAAGACACAGAAAATAATGCTTCTGTTAGATGGGAGATGAGATATACATAATGTAAGCCCATCTTTTAAGTGAGCGCGTCTTGTCACTGTCCTAATTCTTAATTGATGGATTTTCATGTGCATTTTATTTTACATCTTAGGCTCAGCTGCCTCTGTATCTTCCCAGATTCCTCACGTCTGACCACATTTTCCCGTCACAGGCTTGATATCTAACCATGCAGCGGAGGTCAAGAGGAATTAACATTGGGCTGCTCCTGCTCCTTTCTCAAATCTTCCACGTTGGGATCAACAATATTCCACCTGTCACCCTAGCAACTTTGGCTCTCAACATCTGGTTCTTCTTGAACCCTCTGAAGCCACTGCTTAGCTCCTGCCTTAGTGTGGAGACGTGTTACCAGCAAAAAGACTGGCAGCGCTTACTGCTTTCCCCTCTTCACCACGTGGATGATTGGCACTTGTATTTCAATATGGCATCCATGCTCTGGAAAGGAATTCATCTGGAAAGAAGACTAGGAAGTAGATGGTTTGCCTACGTCATCACCACGTTCTCCCTACTCACTGGGGTGGTGTACCTGCTCTTGGAATTTGCTCTGGCAGAATTTATGGATGAACCTGACTTCAGAAGGAACTGTGCTGTAGGTTTCTCAGGTAAGGCAGATGCATTTCTAAGGTAGCCCGCATGAAAACAGTAAGGGAGGTGCAGCTCTTGTCATTTTTTGAAGCAGGGGTCCCAGTTGGTGAGGGAACTGAATTCTGAGTGGCTAAGCGCTGCTGGGGCTTGGATTTTGGTGAATAGCCTGATTGGAGCACAGGAGAGACATAGATTTTGCTGTTTCCCATTATGCCGCATCATTCACTCTTGGACAGTTGAGACTAGGGTCTGCCCAAAGGTAGTTTTGCAGGAGACGTGGTCCTGGAAATATGCACTGGCTCCATTATGGTGGGACGAGGGAGAGAGGCACTGGTGTACTTGCGGGAGTTCTCTAAAAAGATGGGTATGCATCTCAATAACGCCATTAAAATAAATGCACCACACCCTACAGTGGCACATGCTCACTGTGTTTTGAGAGCCATGATAGTCTTTATACATAATTCATGCTGTTTAATTAAGGTAACAGGTCCTTAGGGAGGTGGCCTTGTCTTGATTTTGTAGACGAGGAAGCTAAGGCCCAGAGAAGTCAGGTAACTTGCTCAAGGTTACACACCTCATAAGTGACGGAGCTGGGATTTGAACCCAGTCTCCATGACTTTAAACACGTATTACATTGCCTCTCACTGTTCCCCTCACTAGTTCTTTTTTTTTTTTTTTTTATAATTTCAGTTTTTCCTTTTTTTTTAATTTTTTTTTTTTAAACCCCACATTTGTTTATTTATTTATTTTTTTGGCTGTCTTGGGTCTTCGTTTCTGTGTGAGGGCTTTCTCTAGTTGTGGCAAGCGGGGGCCACTCTTCATCGCGGTGCGCGGGCCTCTCACTATTGAGGCCTCTCTTGTTGCGGAGCACAGGCTCTGGATGCGCAGGCTCAGTAGTTGTGGCTCATGGGACTAGTTGCTCCGCGGCATGTGGTATCTTCCCAGACCAGGGCTCGAACCCGTGTCCCCTGCATTAGCAGGCAGATTCTCAACCACTGCGCCACCAGGGAAGCCCTCACTAGTTCTTTTTTTACATTTTTCTCATAGGACTAAATTGCCATCAGGACTTAAAATAGGTATTCTGAAAATTAGCATGTGAAGGGTAGGAGGGAAATAGTCCTGAAACCAAGGAGATAAAACCCTTCCCTCTGTTTTCCCTGCCTTCCCTCCCCCTTCCCTCTTAGGTGCATCCTCATGCATCTGATTGTGTGAGAAGAAAGGAAATAAGCCCTGCCTTCAATATGTCTTGCCATAGGCGTTAGAAAAATACACGTTAATGATTTTTTTTAACTGAGTTAAAAATCACATAAAATGAACGATTTTGAAGTTTACAATGCAAAGTTTACAGTGGCATTTAGTATTGCACCATTGCAGGTGTCTTATTCCCATTTTATGTGTTATATATTTAGTAGCATACTCAAAGTCAGTATGAACTTCCGTGGGAAGAAACATCAAAGGAATGATTGCCTTGAAGACTGTCTTTCTACCGAATGCTGGGTTGACTTGTTGTAAGGAATAGGGTATGTTTCGAAGCAAAAAGTTGGATGTAATGGAATAATCATTTTCACTTTCAGTTAGTTTCCTTTGTAAATGTTAATCATCTCCACGTTTGGATTGTTGATATTTGTATGCTCTTTATCCTCTTTTAGGAGTTTTGTTTGCTTTGAAAGTTCTTAACAACCATTATTGCCCTGGAGGCTTTGTCAACGTTTTGGGCTTTCCAGTACCCAACAAATTTGCTTGTTGGGCAGAACTTTTGGCTATTCATTTCATCTCACCAGGGTAAGTGTTTACTCTTAGAGAATACAAATGAAGAACCTGATGTTCCATAGAGAAAGAATTATGGTCATAATGAGGTAATCAATTGTCTTTTACAGTGAAGTTTGTTCTTTAACTATAAGGACAGAATCCAGCTTAATGGTTTTAATGTCAGATATTCCTGTGTTTGAATCTCGTCAGCTACTGAGCTGAATGATTTTGATGTATTTGTCTTATCTGAGTTTCCATTTCCTCACCTTTTAAGTTGAACCTGATACACAGATTTGGGGATTAATATTAACCAGCTTGTCAATTAATTAATTCTAATAACAATAATCCAGAGAGGCACATAGAAACCACATAATTAGAAAGATACGAAATCAAAAGGTATGTTGGTCCAGTGCTTTTAAGCCATTTTAGTTGTGAATTTTCTTGGTGGTAGACTCTTTAAACAAAAGACTTTACTCACAATTTTGATATAGAAAATGGATCAACTCTGAACTGTTTTGGGTGGAGAGGAAGCATAGGGCTCCACTCCCTTTGCCTTACCCCTGTGTCACTGGCTGCCTTAAGAGGCACCTCCGCAGAACCCTAGAGCTCCAGGGAACACAGTTTGGGAATCACTGATGTCTGTGAATTTCCTTTACGGGTGAGGACAGGGAAATTCAGAAGGTTTAGGGACTCATCAAGCAGTGTCGTGGTAGACACTAGACTAGTTAGGATTCAGGCCTCTGGACTCCTGGTCTGGGTGTTCTCGGGTGCGGGGGGGGACCGGGTGAGGTGGGGCGTGCTTTTCCGCTTTGGTTCTTTTCTCTACTTTCTGTTCAGAAAAAAGAGAATGAATTGTGTTATTTTCCCACCTCTTCCACCAGCTGCACTTCTCTTAATCTGTATAATGCACCTGGAAGCCCATGGTTTGCTCATTTATTTTTACTTTGGGGACCTGGACGCTGTTTGGAGAAGGGGGAGATTCAGGAAGATTCAGAAAGAAGTAAGGAGGATGTTTTTTTGCTGCTGTTCTTTTCAGACAGGAGCTTTTTTTCTCAGCTTTTAGTTTGTGTGACCGCGTTGGGTGTCGTACTTTATCTGAGAGTATTCTCCTTGGGTTGTATGTCAGCCCAGTAACCTTGAGTCCTTCTTTAATGCTAATTTCCCATCCTGGGCAGCCATTGCCAGCTGGTCTGTAAAATGCAGTGATGTGGCCACTGAACACCACTCATTTGCAACTGTATTGTTATCTTGTGACAGGTCCACGAAGAAAGCCTAACAAAATCTTCAAAGTTTTCTTTGAAAAAGGGTCCAGTAATGTCTGTCCCTTATCTGAACAGCCCTCTCTATACCTTGTCACTCACAGCTCCCTGACTTGCTTGGTGTGACTCAGTTCTCTGTATAGACCAGAGACTCTTGTGTGTGAGGGCAACACCCAACATTCATATGAAAATCACTCTCTCTGGTACTTGAACTTTTATTCTATAATGAATCCATTGAACAGCAGTGCCTTTAATAGTCTCATGCAACTATTTCTGAAGACTCCATCACGCATTTTATTTTTTTAGGGTCCCCCCCTTTACATAGATAAGGGATGGTTGCATTTTTATGTAATATGCTTATTCTGCGTGGAGGGACCTGATATTCTGAGCTTGGGAATTAAATGGAATTTCCTTTGAAGTTTGAAAGACGAAATCTTTTGGTTTTTAAGATTTGAGTACTTTGAATGATAAACTTCTGATATCCAGGCATCTGCTTATGCATGTGTCCATTGAAGACGGAGCTGAACACTGGTCCAGGAAACCTAAGAGGGGCATGCTTTTTGAGATGGATCTTGGAAGGATGGGGGAAACCAGAGCTCTCTGGGCTCTGCATTGTTATTCTCCTGGTGGTTGTCAATTAGAGTTTTCATTGGGAAAACACTGTAAATCTTTACAACAAAGCCTGCTTTATCGCCGGACTTAATGAGCTGCCCTTTGGGAGAAGAAAAAAACTGCCAGGCAAACATTTGGTGGACCTCTGTGTTTTATGAAAGCCACAGAATTAGTAATTTCCCCAGTTAGGGAGTTTTATGGAGGGAAGCCACTCCAAACAGCCAGCCATTGGTTCAGCGCTGTGAGAGGTTATGGACTTGACCAGCAGAGTGACGTAATCGCACTCCTTTGCTGGAGCTTTTGCTTTTACAGTTCTCGTGTGTCCCTTGTTTCAGTGACATCTTTGCCTCACATGGTCTTTTACTTTCCCTGCATGTCCTGGGGCCCTGGTAGGTAGGTGGTTGTGTTTAAAGAAGTGACCCTGCTCCCAAGGTGGCACAGTGGGGAGGTGATTGTGAAATTCTAATGTTCACCTTAAAGCTCAAATTTTATCATTGACAATAAATATCACTAGTTGTTTTTTTTTGCGGTACGCGGGCCTCTCACTGTTGTGGCCTCTCCCGTTGCGGAGCACAGGCTCCGGACGCGCAGGCCCAGCGGCCATGGCTCACGGGCCCAGCCGCTCCGCGGCATGTGGGATCTTCCCGGACCGGGGCATGAACCCGTGTCCCCTGCACCGGCAGGCGGACTCTCAACCACTGCGCCACCAGGGAAGCCCTCTTTTTTCTTTTTAAATGTGCATGTGTGGCTGTGAAAAATACAGCGACTGCTGGTACTGTTTGGAGTCAACGCCTTGATTCATTTGATTCAAGCGGCCAAGGCACAAGCAGTTGGACCCACCATTGCTTTTATACCACTAATGCAAACATCAACACGTGGAAAAGGGCACATGATACCTCAGTATAATTATGAAAATAGTTCTGACTTCATGTACTGCTGGAAGGGCCTCTGGGACCTCCAGTGGCCCATGGAGCACACTTTGAGAATCGCTGCCTCTCTAGCACTACTCTTGACCGTTTCTTAGCTTGTATGAAAGGAAAGATGGGGAGCTTCATGCAGTCAGGGATGGCAGAGAAAGGGAAGCAGTGAAGTATGTGAGAACATATATTGTATAACCACTGAAATTGCTAATTAACAGTTGCTAATTAGCATGAACTGTTAACACTTTGCCTGAAGGAGAATGGCCACTTGTCACTCTCATTACAGGGACTGACTATAAGATCTGCCTGTGTTCCACGCAGGACAGAATTCCTTAGATGCAGGGAACTCCCGTCCTACTTTCAGTTCTCTCCTTGCATCTGCTTACATTTTGTGCTAAGGTGCTTCTGGCATATTCATCTAAAATGCAGCATACAGTTCTTTCTTCCCCAGTAGTACTGAGATAGGGAATATAAAAGGAGAGTGCATTCGGCTGGCATACACTGTGTTTGAGTGTCAGTTGACACCCCTATGGATCAGGCTACGTAGTAGTCTATTGGATTTTTGCCTTGGGAATTAGAACTGAGGTTGGGGAATAACAATTTGGAAGATGAAGGTAACACCATCTCCTGTCCCACATGTTCTTTTAGAACTTTGCCACTCTACCTAGAGGTGGGGTCCAGTGCACCTCCCCCTGAATTGGGTGGATTTGTGACACAGTGTAATCAGTAGATGGCAGTAAAAGTGCCATGTTAATTCTGAGGCAAGAACTTTCTTGCCTTGTGAGCTGAAACACTTGCCCGTGGAGCACATGTTCCCTGATTCCACCATGCTACGAGGAAGTGGCACGTGACATGTGAGTGAGTGGCCATTATATACAGCCATGAGTCCCCTCAGCCTCAACATTGTGGAGCAGAGACCTGTCACCCCCCGTGCTTTCTGAATTCCTGACCCACAGAATCTGTGAGTGGAAGAAAACAAGTGTTGTTTTATGTCACTACATTTGGGGAGATTTGTTCTACGTAATGTCAACGAGTTGAATGAAAAAAAAGGGAGGGAAACTAGATTGAAAAGCAAAGGAGTACAAAGGGCAGTGTTTGGGCAGTGGGGGAGAGAGTGGAGGGAAAGCAGAAGAGAGCCAAGGATGGAGGCCTGGGGAGGAATCCATGCTGAGATGCTGTGGTACCACGAGTCATAACATCACCACTCATCAAGTAGCAGGGCTTTAAAGCAGTGGTTGGCAACTGTGGGTTCTAATCCTTTAAAGTGTTCTGAAATCAATGTAGTGGGTCACAACCAGCATTTGAAAGAAAGAGAGAAGGAGGGAGGGAGGGGAGGAGGGAGAAAGGAAGGAAGGAAGGAAGAGAGGGGAGTGGGAGGGAGGGAAGGAAAGAGAAAGATGGATTAGTGTTGAATGTGGTAAGGGTATTATTTCAAGGAACTTTTGTTTTAGCTATATGTGTGTGTGTGCTATATTTCTAAAAATGTATTTTTATTGTGGGACGCAGTATAAAGATTTTGGGAGGTGTTGCTTTAAAGCAGCTCCTAGTTGCTTAAACTAGAGTTAAATACATTTATAGGATCAAAGACATTTATTGCCTTCTGCGAAAGAGGATTAGATTGCCAGGTCTTTGGTGGCAATGAGATGAACAGGCTGTGACTCCAGATTTCTACTAATTTATTGTCTTTCATTAGAATAAGTGCTAGTTTATAAGGCTTATCGATGACCGAGTGAGCTCTCAAGATAGCTGTCTGTATATGGAGATGTATGCTAACAGATTTAGACTTCACCTAAACCAGAAATGCTAGTAACGGTTGTTCAGTTATAAACAAAGTTATTCATAAAAATCCTTTGAGAATTCAAGAGAAAGGGGTTATCTAGAGCAAAGGAGACAATGAAGTGTAAAAGTTACCGTATTTTCCCAAAAAGTATAATATTCCTCTCCAAGCCTTTTAAATGTAGACGTATTCAATAACTTAGTAGAAAATAAAGCAAAACCTGAATGGATATAGGGTTAAAATATACATTGGGAGTTTGTGTAAGCAAGCAAGTGGCAAATAGGTAAATCCAATGATACTTAATTGTGCTTTGGAGAGAATGCTCCTTTGACAAAAATGGCCTGATGGATGAGAGCTAAGCAGGAACTGTGGTCTTCTCAGGGCTGGGGCCGTGTTATGGCAGCCCATGGAGAGGAGAGAGGGCTGCTGTCTGAGATTCCTGTTTTTCAAGGACGGGTTAAGTTG